TTTAAATCAATCAAAGTGTGCTCAGAATGATTGGCTATGCAGCATTCCTGTTGAAAAGAGCAGAAACGCATCAAAAACCTACAAATAAGTGTTCTTGGGTTATTATGACTGATACTAAAAGCGAAAACTTCTTATGCAGTCTTGAATAACAAGTGCACATAAACCGATTAAATGTCAATCGGCTCCTTGCAGGTCGTATTGAAATAGCTAACGGACAAAACCGCGTTTCAGCAAAGGTGACGTTTTTACACGCTGGTTGTCGTTTTTTGAGGGAAAACAAAAGGGAAATTGTAGAGATTTTAGGGGGCATTCCAGCATCTGACAAAATATCAACAGGCCTTGCTCTCAGTAAGCCCAAATTGGAGGCTCTTTCACCAGTAACAAGCAAATCAAACACAATAAGTGTGTAAGCTTGTGTGCACGACATCCCAACATGTTATGATCTTTTAAGCAAAAAGATAAACAACCAGTTTGTTTATAAAGAATTACGCCATCAAATTAGGTGTATTAGCTTTGCGACGATGATGAAAAATGTATGTTGAATTAGGTAGAAATAATGGGTTTTTTCTACTTTAGGTTGCTCTCGCGCAACTTGGGAGCACCCTGAGGTTGCGCGAAACCAAACAAAGTTGTGATTTACTCTTTTCCTCAAATAATTTTCCAAAAATTTTCAGTCAGATGTTTTCCCTGTTCACACTCAATCTACGAGAATCCACCTCAGTCTAAGTTTCGCCTTTCTGCTTTGCTACGGCTCTCAATAATATAAAAACCTTTTTTTGCCTTTCTGTTCTTTTATCTTTAAACTTGGTTTTTTCTCCATGTTCCACTTATCGTTTCGCTGCAGATTATAAGCCGTATTTCTACAAAGACTAAAAGTTATATTTAAACTTCTGCAATGTCAAAACGAACATCGTTTCAAAAATCTTAAAGCCATTTCGTGCTGGGTCCTAATGAAGACAATATTTTGATTGTTTATTTAAGAACATACAATCCAAAGTTGCACTTAAGTAATCATCTACAATTTACGCTTCATTAACGAATGATGATTGTAACATTAGTGTTCCATAGCTTGGATTCAGGATCTCTGGTCGAAAAGTGAGATTGAAGACGAAAGAGTTCATGAATGTGTAAACACATATTTTATCAACAGTAAGTATGAGTAGTTCTCTACAAAGATTGTTAAGCAAACAACTTTTTAAGTGATAAAATCTTTTCAAAACGCCTCACACTACCAAGAAGAAGTGGCAAAAATGACCACGATAGAATATGAACCAGACGAGGAGAATTTCAACGGAGCTTCGAAAGATAATTCAGAATCGGAAGCGGAATCTACAGAGCCTGGACCGGGACAATCCGAAGCTGGAGCAGTACCGCAGGTACATAAACATTGCCTGACTTTCTAGCTGGAGCGTCCAATGCATAATGGGACAGTTGTTGAAGCTTTTATCATAAAGTAGTATTTGCAGGAACCGGAACCTGGATCGGAGTCTAAATCGGAGGAAGGGCAGGTACAATGATAATGCCCAGCGTGAATTGTAACAGAGATCTTTCGCATTTGTAGTGTAATTGGAAATTGGACTCTTGGACTTGAGGCTCTTCTGCTGTGCTGAAAAACTAGTGCATGTTTGCAAATTCACCTTGGGGCACTAAAGATTGTCAAATTTCCCAAATCAAAGACTGTTTTGCATCTTACATTTACAAAGTTCACTTGCATTAAAAATCTAAAAGTACGTGAGAGAGAATTTTGTTTTGAGTGTCGCTTTTTTCTGTTTGGAAGGCAAGGTAGAAACGTGTTTTCTATCAAATTCCGTGAGTGCAGCAGATAGTTTCAAGTAGTGCACAAACTCTGCTTCAAAAAAACATTCAGCAAAATTATATCAAATATTTTTGAATACACTGTTTCTGCATCAACTTGATATTAGGTAATCGCAAAAATTTTCTCATTTTTTGACCTACCTTCTGCCATTCGTCAAGCAGAGACAAACAAATATTCTAAGATGCATATTACCCAGAATTTCTTACTTTTCTAGCAGCTATAATTGCAAAGTGATTTTTTGAGCGAGAGTTGAGATAATCGCCAAAGATTACAAACCTTCAACACAAATCTAACTCGCTGATCAGAATTTTTACTTGAGATTTTGAAAAGTTTTGATAGCCAACGGATAGGACAGAGTTTTTGCAGATCAATGCAATCTTTCGTGATCCTCTGTTATGTTTTTACCTAAATTTTTAATATATCTTTTTTTTTGGGTGCTCATTATATTCGGTCTACTCAAACCTCGTAGAATATGTGGTGAGCAGCTTCCACACCATTCAATGTACCGTCTGCACCCCAGGGAGGTTCCCATGTGAACCAGCGTGCGTACATGGTGCGACGCTGCCTTTCGCTCTTTTTGACACGTTTCTCCTGAGATTTCAACGGAAGTACCCGAGGTTAACAGGTTCAAAAGTGCGAAAGGCAGCGAGATGACGTGGTACTTATGGGAACCTCTCTGGGGCGCAGACGATATCTTTCTTCCTTTTTCAAGAGTTGTCTTTTCAAAATACCTGCGAAATTTGCAAATAAAAATGCCGTATTCCTCTACTTTATGAATGAGCGCGGTTATATCCTAAACAACGAAATCTTGATATTTCACTCGTCTATACTTTTGGGTTTAGTGTTCGGTAAAACTAGGCGTACGATTTTTTTTTCTAACATACTTCAAAATTATTCAGCAAAATCAAAAATCGAAGTCGGAAAATATAGGACTGCATATATTGGCAAAGGGTCTGCCTTACGATGTTGAGGCGTCTTTTGAAGTAGTGAGTAGTGACTGATAGGGAAAGTCGGACATGGCAAGAATAAAGTGGGGCAATCTTTGGCGACTATCTTAACATTCGCCAAAGGAACCATTTTGCAATCTTATCTATTCGGAGGTAAAACTTTACGTAATATGCAGCTTAGAATATTTTTCATCTTAACTAGACGCTGTTGCGGGTGAATTGAAAAAAGTTACAGAACTTTTGCACCTATCCAATGCATCAAACGCTCTATCAAAAACAGCCTCGTTTTCTTGCTCATCTGAGCAAATCTGAATTAATAAACAAATACCGACAATTGCAGCAATAATTGCTTTTTTAGACAACTTCAACCACTTCTTCCGGCGAATTAGTGGTAATCAGAGATGACAAGGCAGGTGAGTAAAATAAGTCCGTAGGTACCTGAAAGGCTTAGAATTTTGCGATCAATTAACGAGAAACCAATTCCGTCCCGTCCTAAGCTTTACAAACTCTGAAAAACTCATAGCATCTCACCAGAAAGCGTTATGATCAAATTGTGATGGATTTTGGAATAATCAAGAAACTTAGAGGCATCGTCCATCGAGATCCTCGACTTCCATATTTTGATGGTTCCGGAGCCTTAGCATGTTCCTGATTCCGAATATGAAGTCGAGAATCCGCGAAAACCCCAACAATTCCCGTTTTGACGAACCCGAATGCCGGCTTTCAAGAACGGTGATTGGCTGGGCGCACGGATGAGCGGGCATGGATGGATAGGGCGGTGCCGTCTCGGGGTCCTCGTGCATCTTCGTTTTCGGAGCAATTTTCTTGCTTCCAAGCGACATTTTGCGCTGCAACTTAGGCACTGGCACAGAAGGCCCTCATATCATATGCTGCCAAAAGCTCAAGACCCTCAACTTAGGGTGGACGGTCCTTTGAGCAGAATGACATAGTCCTCTGCCATACCATCTTGATTATCCTGCTGCATGAATGGTTTGTAGAATCTTTACACTGATAATTTCATTCAATTTCCACATTTATGAATTTTCTTGCTTATATTCTTTTCGAGCCAGCTGTTAATAGTAATTTGTAGTGCGCTAAAACCCCTAAACCCCTGCTGTTGTTTTTACACGCCCACAAACATTTGAATTATTAGGAGCTGGAACTTACTGAGTTCTTCGAGATGCATCGCAAAACATTTTTTATATATTCACTCTCAAATTGCAAAATATTTGATTCATTGAATTGCAAAACCAGAAGTTTTATTTTATGAATCGCAAAACTAACTCTGATAGAGAGCCGAAAATTTACGGTTATACAATGAGGACTTGTAGTATACCATCACTTATGTTGGAGCAGCGGAATGCGGTGCAGGAGAAACCAAAGGCATGCCACCTGTGACCGTAGGAAATAATTAGGAGTGCGAGCGCTGTGGCGAAGATTTTGGCGCGTATCCAGGAAAGTTAGCAAAAATATCCGTCAAAACAAGTTTTTGTAACTCTGCATGGAAGTATATTCAAAGGCTATAAAAAACGATTTGTAATCAGCATTGAAAGGCGCATTTTTCAGTACATCCTATTAAGTAAATTCAGTATTTAGTTCCAATTTTATTCAGAAAATGAAAAACATTCAAAAACAGAAAAAATGGAAGGCCTAAAACTGTCGGTTGACCGATAGATGGCAAATGTAAAAATGGTTCAAAGATTGAGGCTTTCCAGTGAGTTTTCTGGGATACGAAATCCAAATCCAATCGAATGACGTAAACAATTTGCTTAGATTTCTGTAGATTTCAAAAGCATCGCCGCCGTTTCCACCATCTATGCTTCTAAAATTTCGTAAAAGTCTCAAATTAAGATCGAATTTGAAATTAGATTCACTTTGAAATTGTAGACTTTTGAATTGCATAGTATATTTTATGTTATTTTGATTCCAATTTGGAAGTGACTCAAAATACACAGCTTCCAGCATTCTGAGAAGAAAAATAAACTTTGGAAGGAGATGCTCATGTCATGAGCAACTGAGTATTATATTTCCTATAAAGAATGTCAATCATTTTTTCTACTCGTACAACTATAGATTTTACTCCCACGATCAGTAAATACGTCCTCCAATACTGATTTTGAACCTGCTGTTCATAGCTTTTCAGGTTTCTCCAGCGGAATTACGACGATTTCTTTCCACACGATATTCTTGACAATTTTCCTGGATCCATGCCAAAATCCTCTCCAAGTTGCTTGTGCTTTAATTATGTCCTGCGGTTATATGCATCAAGCCGTTCCTTCTACATTACCCCAAAGCGCAGTGGAAAACAAGAAAATTTTTGTTTTTTTGCGATTTACAGCAGAAAAAAGGAAATAGCACCGGTGTTTATAACTGTCTGAAGGGAATGCAAACGGTGTCTTGAGAGTACATAGCCACTGTTTGATAGTCAACACTTCTTCTCCCAAAAAGTTTTCCTATTACCAGTTACCATTCGTAGAGCTTCAACTGGCTACTACTTGGTTTTACAGTAAGGAGCGATTACAAATGGTTCTTCATTACTGTAAAATTACGGTAAAACATTTTGCCCCAAAATAAAACAAAACTTCCTGAAAATTCTCAAGCCAGGCTAGTTAGATTGCTGATTCTAACCATGGAGTTTCATAACGCTTCGTTAAAATGTTGTGCCAGCTAAAAGAAACAACCGCTTTTCCAAATCCTTGAGAAAACGTATTTTCACTGTTTAAGTGTCACAATCACGTGCATAGGATGTTGAATTCAGCGTTTATGAAAATGCTATTAACCAAGTTTTCAGATTTTTCTCGATTATTCAAAATTGCAGCTATTTCCCCATAACGTCATAAACCGATAGTTTCCACAACCCTACAGTGATGAAGAACGATCCGTGTTTTGCTCCATGCTATAAATCTGAGTTGAAGCCAGCTTACAGCATGGTTCTTAATGGTAAGCAAACGGCTGCTGGGGAAAAGATATTAACAATCAAAGAGTAAGTACATTCTTGTGGGACACCCTGTATATGAGTAGAGAATGAGAGATCCATAGGATGGTTAAGCAAATGTATGATTTTTTCCAATTTTTCGACTTGGAACTTTTCAAAGTTTGGCCTCAACTTGCGGCGGATAAAAAGTGGTGCGAACTTTTAAACATCGTATTGTAGAAATTGTTCTGCTCTGAAATCTGATCAGAGATAAGGAACGTGTGCGAATCAAAGCAACACAAAGTCGAAATATAACAAGACTCATGTAACAACCTAATATTGGGTTGTAACATGAGTTTTGTTACACTCTAACTTCTTACTGCGATAAGTGATAAAATTTAATCAATAGGGATCCAAGGTACCATTCGATAGACTAAGCAAGCTCCACAAGATGTTGTTTGCACCACCTTCGACCCACTTTGTGCATTCAAAACCTGAATCGTACTGATGGCTAAAGAACCGCGAAAAATTCATATCTACGTGCAAAAAAATCCTACGGACCTCCAACTTGCTCACACAAATCGCACACTACATCAGACAATGATATGATATGTACCGTTCCTGCATTTTTCTTCTTATTCAGTAATGGAGAAAACGAAAATCTGCATGTTTTTAAACAAAGCTATGATGTTTCCACTCATTAATTGTATACCACAAACTCTTAGAAGTATAAACGTGATTTTTTAATTTTCTACAGGCTCTAGTTTTCAAAAATTACCGATTAGCTCTTCTCACTAGGAGTGTTCCACGCTAACATCATTATTCGTCGAAAACTAGGAATGTGAATCTGAAAATTTACGGTTACATCTAAGAGATTGCAGTATAAATTATATGAGTGGAAAAGCACACTTCGTTTCTGTATAAACATAAAAATCGTCTTCTTGATTTCTAAATGAGGAAGAAATACAGAAATGGTACATACGAGTCTCTGATGTGGCATGCAATCTGTGCAAGCAAGAAAATTTGTAAAATTTTATTTATTTATTTATTTATTTATTTCATACACGTAAACGTGTGCCAAAGCCTGGGTGAGTGACGAGAACATTGCTAGAGTAAGAGACTAGCCTGTCACCTTTCACCAGAAGAAACAAACAGCGAATAAAGGCCTAGGAATTGAGGAAGAAAAATTTCTATTTGGTCAAGGGAGGTCAGGTGATTGGCATTGGAATGCCACTGCCACTTTAGACAAGAGACAAGGATATGAATTTTCCTCATCTTGGGCCTTTAGTAGGGCTCAGATTTAGGTGCAAACTTACGGTGGGTCGAAGCTAGTGCGTGCTTTTGCGCAGCATCTGGAGCTCGCTTTGCTCTTTCGAATGGCCTCTGGAGTTTTATTAAAGTTCTGAAATGCACAACTTATCGCCGTAAGAAGTAAAAGTGTAACAAGACTTTTATTACAATCTAATAGGTGCTTACAGACCATAAGGAAACGTCAATACTAGATAATATCCATGCTAGACAAACTTGAATGAACTGTGAATATAGTCAATATTGAAACACCATGGTTGTGTACAGTACAGTGGTTATTATTTTCAACATGCAACCAGCTCCTTTTTATCGGAATGTTATTTTTAAGAAAGTTTAGCCTAAAGTGCCCATAGCAAACTCATTTGGACATATGCGCAACAGCTCTGTCGAACCCTTCTTGAACGTGTTTTTATACTTTCGCCTCGAATTCATATGTCTTGATGTAACTGGCGTAATTATACATACATTTGTGTCTATTCACAAACGAAAGAGAAGAGGTAAGAAAAACCTTCCGTGCGGTGCCGCGGAAGGTCCCTTGCATTGAAAAAGTTTGGAGGGAACTCACCATCATTTTTCTACCACTGCAATACGAACGAGAGAAATCACCACGCATTCTTAGGCTTGCTAGAAGATTCTCATAACAGACGATACGTACAATTAGGAATGGAAACAAAAATAAGAGCCACAAATTTCTTTACCCTGGCAGCACTTTGTTCCAAACTGAGTGGTATCTATCATTTGCGCGGGTGAACGAGCCTAGTAAAAAGGCGATCGCTTACTGGAAATGATATATGGTTTATATGACAAAATTCTACGATATAGACTAAATTCTCATTTATCATTCACACAGAGTGTCCTAAAAGTACGTATACCCTGTCTGATCGTCGATCCCTCTTCCCAAGAAGTCTTTTGCGTACTTTTAGGTACCATTCTGTAAAGCTGGCTTCAACCTAGACTCACAGAATGGAGCGAATCACCGATCGCTCTTCACTACTGTAGATTACGGTAGAAACTTTGAGGATTTTGAGCCATTGAGGGCGCCTAAGAAAGCGAACTAAACAGCTTAAGAACTTCAACACTAGACTAATCTCGAGCCACTAAACTAAATATGAAGTTTGTACTTCACTGCAATGGTTTTTCATAAGTTATGCCGGGTAAACCGCCAATGCATTTTCACAATGCTTCCTGCAATTGTCCTTGAAAAGCTTTACAAACTCATAAGAAGTTAAGCAATGAAATCAGCAAGGGTGAAAACCCTGATACACCACCTTTCGGATTTTTGGAAACTTTCTTTGAAACACGATCAATTCACAAAGACCTTGTAGACTGCAAGTTCCTACCGTAATCCTACAGCAGTGAGAAGTAGTGATTTACTCCCTACACTAAATCTAATTGTCAATTTAAAAAATTTAAAAAATCTTATCAAGCCTACACAACATAAGCAAATTTTCCCCCATGCAGCATCTGGGTTTTCAAATCAATGCATTACTCGCGCATAAATTGACCAGTGAAGTAGATGCAATAAAATTCTGGTATTTAGTGCGATTACGGAGCTCCGTTAAATTCTAATGGATGCGGGTGGAAACCTGTGCTAATCACCACTACGTAGAGCATGTAAAATCTTTTTCAGTGGTTGTCAAATTTGTTTAATATGTTTCAAAGAATGTTCGGTGGAAAAAAATTGTTCTGAAACAAAGTTCAGAAAAACACTCTTCAATTTTGCACCAACCCAGTACATGTGGGCTATTGCGAAGCTCTTCTTACTTGTTGGTATATGAACCCGCCAAAAAGTGTATACCAAGAGTTCAAATGTGATATTAACACGTTGACGACGAGCCAAATTTTTGAGGTCTGTCCCTGTAGACGAGACGTTTCCATGCATCCCTACGCGTGGCCCATGTATGTATGCATGCATCCATGCACGAATACAGAATGTGCAAGCCCCGCCCCCTCTGACAAGCTCCGCCCACTCGACCAAAAATGTCGGAAATTGCCCAAATTTCAAGTATTTATGCGATTTCCGCCACTTTTGAAAAGCGGGCGGAGCTTGCCACTTAGGGGGCGGGGTTTGCCTGACGGTGGGCGGGGCCTGGCTAAAAGTTGCTTGAGGTCTTTGCGTTCACCTACAGCCTCATCCATGCTTTTTATGGACAAAAAAGGGTCCTTGTGAGAGACGTTGGAGTGGGCGGAGTTTGCCAAAAGGGGCAGGGCTAATACATGAAGTACATCTGAGCCTATGTTGATTACATGAACAAAAACTGAGAGGATTGGACAGATAGTATTGAATTTAAGGCCGCCGCGCACCATTGCGCGGCGTCGTCCACAGGGACAGACTACCTGCCGCGCACCATTGCGCGGCACTGTCGTCAACGTGTTAAGTACATTATATCGGGTGGAGGACATTAGGTCGCCGAAAAAGGGCGGTCCCCGCGGTCATTTGCGACAAATACGCACCCTTGTACATACGCGGACATGCGTTCCTGCAGGGAATCCGCGCGGGATTCTTCCAAACCTAATGTCCTCCACCCCATTATACCTCCTCCTTTCGATAAAGTCTCCATTGCTCAATAACGTCAACATCTTTGCTAACATTACCATTTTTGTTTAGTTTTGTTAATTGCCCAAAACGTTTGAATGTCCTAGATCATATCTTTTAGATAAAAACCTGGACGTACAGGGGAAGGAGTTTGACGCCTCCAAAAAAGGGCCGAAGAAAAGGAAATACAATTGGTAAAATTTTCCAAAAACATGTACTATGCCACCAATTCTCGTCTTTATAGGAGCTGGTTCATAATTCTTGCTGTAATCGCTGGAATACTGGTTTTTATAGTAATACCGGTATTACTCGTTCTGATAGCATTGAAGTATAGACGTGTAAATAGAGCAGCGCATCGAGGAAAGAAAGCACCAAGAATGAAGTATTGAAGATTGAAGTAGCTATACTACAATGTGTCACAAGAGTAAAATAGCAAATAATTACTGGTATGTTGTAGAAAAGAATGCAATAAAGAGGTGAAAAACTTCGGCTTTTGAACGTGAGCAGTTATAAAAAGCAAAAGGTATTCGCGCCTAGTGCATAATTGAATGTATCTCAGTCTTTCTCGTAATCTTTACAGACCAGTGGCGACCGAAATTGACTCCCCCCCCCCCTTGAAAATGGGTTGCAAAATTCAATTACTTACATGTGCTATAAATTGTACAAGTGACTTGTTTGTACTCGGCTGTTCCAAAAGATCTGTCTAATTTCTAGTTGCCTTGATTTAACGCAGAAATTTTCTTAGAAAAAGTACTTTTCTTGCTCTTTTTATTGCTTACTTTCTCATCAAAATAGCTTGCCAATGATGAACTTTCAAGAGATGAAGTTAAGGTACCAGAATGCAGTCATGCTCAAGAAAAGCTTTTATGGAGAGCATTCTTACAGTGTTTTGAAAATCGCCTATGTGATATTTCAAAGTAAGGGTGTGATGGACTAACTTAAAGACAACGTCCAAGAAAATCTAGATATATGGGGTTCTGATGTGGAAAGTAATTTTGGAGCGGCAGCTCGAACGGTGAGAATAGTTGACATATTCGCCTCCAGACTGGACCCCGGGATCGTATTCGCATGGATTCTTGACGGGACACGCGTGGGTCCTCGCGCGAAACAGATGTTTCGCTATGAAACCATGCGGATACGATCCCGGGGTCTAGTTTGGAGGCGAATATCTCAACTATGAGCTCACCACTCGAGCTGCCGCTTGGGCAGTGTTTTAGTTAAGGCTCCAAGACTACTCTCCAAGTGAGATCCCCTTAGGCCCACATTTGCCTGGACGCTGCCTTTTAGCAAATTTTTCCTTCCACATAAAGAATGTCTTACTTTTTGAATTTATCTTCAAGGACTAAAGACGAACTCAGTCATTTAACAAGCGAGAACAGTTTACGCGTAGCCAGTATAGTGCACGATGAACTTTACTTGCTTCCAGGACGCGTACAGAAGTGCACCAAAGCTCTCACGAAATATTTCGTCGTTTCGTGTAGCTAAAGAAAAAAGAGATCTGATGCATTTGTACGCGTACTGGCAGCAAGTAAAGTTGATCGCTGCACTATACTGGCTACACGTAAATGATTATCGCTTGTTGATTGTGAAACCACATTGAAATACACACTGCGCTCTGAGTTCACAAATAAAAGTAACGATGTGTAGTCATCTGTAATTTGCCATTTGTCCTACACATAGCAGATTGTTAGACAGCTCAGAGACGTATATATTGATAAAAATAGTGTCACCGACTTCTTCGATGTATCGTCCCTGTACACTAATATGCAGGACTAACTAGCATTCCCGGCCTCGTACGCATGGAAAATTTGATTGCCTCGAAAAGAGCGAGACCAGAACAACACTTTTGAAACTTTCCATTTTTTTTCAATAGAAGGAGAGGGAATTTTGCAGAGAAAGGTAGTCTACGGAGTGGGTCGGCATTGAAAATAAATGTGTGCGAAGTTGGTCTCCACACAAAAGTTTCTTCAAAGAACTAACTAAGCAGTTTACCGATACTTACTTTTATACAGATTTAGATGATGCAGCGCTACAAACACTCTAGTTATTAGGTACTCACCATAAAAGCGTGTAGAGCTTCGATTTGAGCAAACGTACATGCTGATTTTCATCAATAAATGTCTGAAGTAACATCTTCAAATGGTCTGGGAATTACTATCCCTAGATTGAAGGACTGTCGATGGTCAGCGGTTAGCCCCAGTCCTTGGATCTGCTTCATGAGCAAAAGGGAGGGACCAGTATTGGCACGCTCACCATTGATAACGTCGACTCAGTCCGAAATGGACGAATGCTTCAAACCTGAAATTTCGGACAAAGGGTGGTTTTTTCTGAATACCCAAATACCCTTTTGCTAGCACCATTAGTATAAACTAGTTTAGTAAAAAGAATTCCAAGAACTATTACATGCCAATTCAGCGCTGGCAATGAAACGAGAGGTAGTACGCAATATGTTCCGAACCGCAACGAGCGTATATACGGGTGAGCAGGAACGTCTCTAATCCAAAGCATTGACGTAGATAGCGCACGTTGATGATTGTTTGTCGAGACATTCTCACCGTAACTCCTTGAAGCTTGTGAGCAGTAAAAGCCATCCGAGTAAGAATGAGAGTAAATACACTTCTGCATACTTTTTTTCCGATGCAATCAGCTCAGCAGTCAAAGATGTGTAAACGAATACAACTCGAAAGCGAAGTTAAGATTGCGAACATCTTGAATGACAACATCAAGAAGACGCTATTAGGAACATTGTATGATGTAGATTGGCTTTCGGATGACTGCGTTGTTTGCGCACACGGATAGACTGACGATTGCAAGAGGTTAAGAGCAGGGTCAAGCGTGGGGTGTGGCACGCCATACCTGGGGCCGAGGGCCAGGAACAGCGGAAGAGAGGTCGTTATTGAGGTGATAGTGATATTAGCGACATTATGTCTTCAACAATGTCTGATAAACCCATTGTACAAGATATCAGCTGTAATTAGCATGTCAAATAACCCCTGAGAGCCAAGTTTCAGGGAATTTTGGGGTTTTCGAATATTAGGGCACTCAAATGAGGTGGTCATTTTTAACATGAAACTCTGTTTCAAAAGTGAGTAAACTACTTCATTTCGCACTTGTTACAAAGCAGTACTCTTTGCTCACATTAGGAATCCCATTTCGACTAACCTCCAAACTCTGGAATTGAGAGCAAGCCAAAATTTCGTTCATCCCATTTTTTGCTTTCATTTTCTCAAATTAGAGAAGACCAATCAGTCTGAAATCACTTTTGTGAAAATTAAGAAATGAGAGACTATAAATATACTTGTTCTTACCGCCTTATCTCGCGATTCACGTAGTAGCGCAGACTTACATATTACCGTAACACAATATTTTCGCGGTGTTTTCCATTTGCTTAGCCAAGGAAAAAACGACTATATCTTTCCCTAGGAAAAACAATTTTGAATGGAATTTGTGCTATGTGGAGAAGAAGGTTTGGCAGTAGGAACCACATAAAAAGACAGAGATTTGAATGCTCTGAAAATAGGTCAATGGGGTATGGCACAACCCCTAAAAAGGTGCGGCGGCCACAGCTTTTTAGGGGTTGTGCCACACCCCATCAACTTGCCTTCGAAAAGAATTTTTGCCAACGAATTACATACATTTTGATCGAATGAGTCTTTTAGTTTTCATAGGAGCAATGTGGGCCTGATTCATTTTCTTCGCTTTGAGTAAAAGCTGGTGAAAGCGCAATCATTAGAAGCGAACAAAGGGACAAACGATTTGGGCTGCTTCTAATTCCACACTTTGATGGTTATTTTTAGCAGAATTCATAGTATTGGTAAGTAGTGAGTAGTGCTTTGTATTGAATACAAAAGAGTTAGCTAATTCATTTTTGAAATATAGCTACCAAATCATGTTTGAAAGTGATAATTTATTGGGGTGGTCCAGCATTGGGAACCTTCAGAATTTGCTAAAATCTGGCCCATGGCGGTTAATTAACATTAGAGGTTAGAGCTCCCTCATCGGTTACTAGGGGAGAAACCCATGTGCACAAATTTGCATGGACGCGTTGCCTTTAGAGACAATTCCGGGCAAAAATTTGTTTTCTAAAAATTCACTTATTTGAGGGATCCGAAAAGCCACATTAGAAAGCGCGAAAACAGCGAAAATATGAGCTTTGCAAAGCGATTAGGGACGCTTTCCGCCAAGGCTGAGAAGCAGGTCGCTCTAAGACTCTACAAATTCGACTGTGTCAGCATGCGTACTGTGTCGCAAAGCAGGTATCCAAGCAAATGAACAGCCTTGCCCCTTTAGTTTCCCAGCTTTTCGACCGTATTTCTTGCTTATGAACAATTGCCATGGCCTCGCACTAGCGATGGCATTTCTGAAAGGACCCGCTTTTGCATCCCAAAACCCCCACTCTAACTAGACACTGCCTTCAAAGTCAGTTTTTTGAAACATTGATCTTCTCAATTTTGCATTTCGTGTATATGACTTTTCTGCACTAAAATTGCTCGTCATTTCTGAAGTAAGACTGCTCGAAACCTCGTCAACAGAGGCGTCCGGATGAGATGAATGACAAACCTGAAGTCAGCATTCTTTGCAGCATCCAACGTTCTGGGTTTTTGCATTGCTTGTTAGCTTTTTATCCTCATATGCATCCCGCTTATGCAGGGTCTGCTTTTTTGTCAGATATCTCCATATATCGCTTTATATGAGGCAAGGTCTTCTTCTGTATCAAGTTTCCGCAGGTCGGCCTTGATTCTGTCCATCCATCCCATTTTGGCTTTACCTCTGGATCTCTTAAAAGGTGTCTCCACAATCAGACCTAACTTTGTGATATGACCTTCAGTTTTTCTGCGCACATGCTCATACCATCGTATCCTCTTTTCTTGCATTTCCTGAGCAATAGGAACTAATTTCATTTGCGTCGCCGGCACCTTGCCGTGAGGTCGGCAGAAACTGAAATTCCTAATTCAGAGTCATAGACTTTTCTCCAAGAAATTTTCCGGATAAGGGTGCACCGCGGTTCTATAGAAACCTCCATCGAAATTTGAGGTTCAAAATTCTTTCGATGGAAAAAAATCGGGAAGCGCAGGAGGAGCTGCCGGCAACTTCGCAAGCTCGCCGCAACCTGCCGGTAACTCGTGGAAATTTACGAGGTGGCAGCTGCCGGCAGGTCCGAGAGCACGAGAAATAGCGTGTTTTTTTCCGAGAGGAAGTTGCCGGCATCTCGAAGTGCCCCTAAAACGTTGTGATGCTGGCACCTTCCCGACGGCGTCTGTGAATTTGCGTCGCGCGGCAATATCACACAACTTACGTCTAGCAAAAGCATCTGAAAAAATTTACTTTTTAACAAAAAAAAACTACCATTTTTGTCATTAAATGGGTTTTTCCTCCAAACTGATGTTATGCGTGCACAAGAAATGACTAGTATTATGATAAAACCATAAAGAACGTCATTTTCATTTTACAAATGCTTTAAATCTCAATTGCAACGAAT